AGAAGACAGACAAAGCGGAGGGCAAGAGGTAGCAAAGAATCCCGATCTGAAGTGCAGATCCTTGAAAATTCCTTTGAATTCTATTTCATGCTGTCCACTTTTACCCAAGAGTGTTGATGGACAGGTGAGAGGGGAGAAGGAACTTGTAGAGAATAGAGGCAGCCGGGGTGAGAAAACGAGGGTAGTGAGAAGTGGGGTGGTGAGGCAGAGGTGCGAAGTGATGAGATGGAAATACATAAGGGAAGGGGAGATGAGGGTGTTTGGAGCAGTGGAATATGGCAGTGATTGAAGTCATGAGTTTGGTGGCATGTACAGCACCATGTGTTGTGTATTTATTTATCTATTTCTTTGACCCATATGGTGCAGCATATGGCGACCGCTAACTGAAAGGACGTAATGCAATTAGGAACATTTGGATGATTAATAGTCCCAGTCACCTGTATTTATCCGAGAGCGCTCAAGATGCTGTGGAGGAGCCACACTCACAGTATGAGTGCAATGCACAATTATAACTGCCTGTCTCACTTACACAGAGATGATAATTTGGAGCATACAGTTACACTACGAATGCTTCTTCTTGTATTTCACTGTATTCCCTCCTTCCTTTATGGCCTGGAAACGGATGTTTGCCCAGAGATCTTGAGAGCTGCCACAGGACAGTTGGAAATCATAGAAGGCTGGTTTGATATGTTTCTAACCTATGGCAGAGGATAAACTGTAGGAGAGCCCTTTCAGGATTTTGTTTGACTGTTATTTTATCATGGCTGGGAAGTTTAAATCAAAACCACATTTCAATCACAGAACATAACTACATGTCATAGTACACTACACAATAACATTGCATTAAAAGTAATGATGGGCATCACGGTGTCAAAGCTTCTTTCATAGTTTTGGACATGAGAATAGAGCGTCTCTGTCTGTTTTTTGGTTGGTCCACCACTTTGGTACTGATGAAACATCCCAACGTCTATCGGATGGCTTGCCATGAAATTTGGAACAGACATTCATGCTTCCCAAATAGTGATCCCTTGACTTTTTCCCAAGCGACACCTGCAGGTCAAAGTCCAGTGAATTAACTCGACACCTACTGTAATAGATGGATTGGTGCAATTTTGTACAGACATTCATAATGCCCAGAGGATGAATCCTCACGACTTTAGTGAACCCCTGCCTTTCTTGTGTAAAATGTCTGTTGGAATGGATTGTCATGAAATTTGGTTCGGACATTGTTTTGTTTCCCATTCAGCACCATCATCACGTCAAGATTGTAATGTTTCCAATGCTTTGGTTTATGATCAAATACCTGACGTTCCCACCAGCCTCAGCTGTAGCAAATGTTAGCATGCTGTAAACCAGAAGATCATTTCTTTTTTAGGTAAATCTTTTATTTAAATGATTATTTCCTTAAAGTTGAAAAGTTCTTTAATAGCCAAATGCAGTTATTGATCTCAACATAATGAATGTGCACCACACCCCCGATACTGCACCGCCCTCCACACTCATATGACACATCTGGTTGTGCCAGCTTTGTTCTAACTGTATTCGGCTGTAATAATGGATATATTGTCTGTAATTCATCACTTCTATTATATAATACATCCATGAGCTGTATGCTCTGTGAAGCCTGTTCCGTGGTGATGAATAAATAAGAAGGTAAATAGTTATAATAGTATGCAGATTTATAATATGTTTCACTGTGGAAAACAGGCCGATTTGGTAAAGGCATTATATATATCCCAATAGACAAGAAAGAATTTGGTTTCACTGTTGTAAAGCACTTTGTAGGCAAACATTTTACTGCTGTCCTCTGATAATACAATAGTCTATTTCGGTCCAATCGAACGACCATTTAGCTTTCAATTCTTGTCAATGTAAGTTCTTTGACGTTAGTACGCTGGCGTTAGCATTAAGCTCAAAGCACTGCAGTTCCTACACCAAGCACAGCCTCACAGACCTGCTAGCATGGCTGTGGACTCGTAGTCTTGAGTAGAATGAAACCAGGCAAAAGACAAGGTGACAGTACCAATACTGTATGAGGGACATTGCCACAGTGTCTGTGATGGTGCTAAAGCTAAAGTAACTTAATTAATAATTATCTGACCTCAGTGACACCCATATGAAAGCAGCGTCCTTCACCAGGAGGCAAGAGTTCTGGCAAAAACTTAAAAGGCATCCTTCATATTTGATACTGTCTGAATGTAGAATTTTACATGATACTGCTTCCGTGTGCACAGTTTCATTTGATATTATAACAATTATTGTACCATTGAGTTTTAATACAGGAGAGACAGCAAATTAGATTAAACTACACAATCATTTAATGACCAGCTGTTGACAATGTTGTTTATATAATGCTCATAGCTGTTTCTATCGACGTTATTACCATATTTTCTTGAGAAAGATTGCTTTATTTTCTATTTTCCTCTGCTGGATTCTATTACAATGGCTGCTCCTTTCAATTACCCACTTTCCGCACAAGTTTCATTTTATCTCGAATCTACTTAAGGCGTTTAAAGCCTGGAATATTTACATATTAATTGCATGATTAATCTGATTACAATTCTCTGAGTAACAGTTCAGCAGACTCTGAACTGTGTATAGCGATCAAAGAGCATTAGTCAGGCTGCGTTTGCCCTCGATATAAGAAAGCAACAGCTTGCCACTTCGGTCTTTTGTTGGACAATAGTCTCAATAGTGTAAATTGTAAATAGTAATAAAATTGTCAGCGAGTGTGCGGTGGCAATTTCAGCCCACAAATATTTGTATGTTTACCTCAAACACTATGACTTATTTTTATTTCCTGGTAGGGTATGGGTCATTTTTCAAAATAAGAACTCAGTCTTCTACATCAATCAAAATACTTCAAATCAAAATCTCGACCTTCAGAAGTACCTATTTCTTGTCAGTAATTATTAATGGAAGTGTGTGTCTCTGAGATCAGTGTCAGTAACAGAACAGAGTTGATTTCTACAAAGACAATCCCTAGCTTTGTATGACAAAACTGTAGATTATAGGCTTTAGGATATATTGTTTGTTGAGCATATGCGCTGCAAGTCTGTAGTTTAATCCTGGGCCTGGTGATGATCACGATTTAGGTTCAGTGCCAGCATTCTGGTTATTGTAGATTAAGCTTTTGAAAGAGACAACTGAAGGAAACTAGTGTCACCATTCTTTTCATTTTCTCCTGCTTTTGTTTTTTCACCTCCTCACATTAACTTCACGGTAGGAGACGAGTAAGGCAGGAGAGGAAGCAAGCTCAGTGGCAACAAACAAGATGCAGCCATCCAGTCAACCAGGGCAGTTTATTTCTTCACTGCAAACACTTAAAATCTGTTTAACATGTCAAAGACTGTCTCTGGCATTGTGGACAGATTCTGATCCGATCCCGCCAAACCACATCCGGACGTGGTCAGGGACTCTTAACCAAATTGAACACACGTGTAAACTAAATTGTGTTTTCAGTCCGCATACAAGAACTATGTCGGCAATAAAACGTAATGCTACGTCTGTCCTGAGTACCATTGTCTTGATGTTTTGTGCGCATTTCTTTCCACATTTCCTTTGAATTCTGTGCCGTCAAAAGCAAAAAAAGTTCTGAAAAGAATGTAAAGTAAGGCTTTATGGGTGTGAACAGTGAATACATAACTTCCACGAATCAAGTTCATGAATGATTTGCAGAGGTTAAAGCTCAATATTCATAAAATGATCTATATGGATTTTAATTATGTGAGCTAGGCTTCATTTTAGTGCTTCAGATGTTTCCTCTCGATTCATATGCTTTCATTCAGTTGTTTATATAGCTCTCCATCATTATAAGAAAATGGGTGTTCATTAGTTTGGATGTTCTTGAGTATAAAGTCACTATAAAGTATTAATTAGAAGCCTGAAGATATTTGAAAATAAAACGGGATAAACTTGTCAGTGAGAGGAAAGTAGAGGTTTGATGTCAAAGCGAGTCAGTGAATACAGTGAGTTATCTGGACTCCACACAAAGGGAAGGCACATCAACAGGGATTCAAGCTGCGAATACAAGCCTTCAACAAAGCTTCAACAAAGCTGACATCCAGCTCCCACTGGGTGGGAGCTGGATGTCAGAGTTGGATAACAGTCTGGGGTGACTGCACCACCACTTTTGTGCATCACCCGGGGTCACCTGCCAAAGACAGCCTCACTCCACTGCCTTGCTAATCTACTCTCTTGTAGCCCAACACACTCCAAAGCAGTGTGCACAGCCACGGCTCGGGGAGTGGCGGGATTTGCATGTGAGGCGCATCCACTGTCGGCTTGCATTACTGCTGATATCCATTCTCATTGATTCCGACGTCTCCTCACATTTACATTTATTCATTAGGCAGACGCTCCGCTCCCATCCCTCCCGTGCAAAATGTCTTAGCTCGAGCTTACTTGGCGTAATGTTCTGACAGAATGCAACAAGGAGTAAACAAGAGGATGCCGCTGTCCTTTCTCATCCTCAGCAATGGGTTCACTGTTGAAGGTAGATGTATTTATCAGAGAGAGGAAGGGAGGCAGATTCAAACTCAATGAGTGTGAAAAGGGAGGAATTGACGATAGCAAATTTAAATTGATGCTCCTCAACTTTAAGTTTTCTTTCAAGACCCCAGAAAGTGGAAGGGCTGAGTTGTGCGATTAGCTTAACTAACTCTGGAATACATTTGCTGGTCAGCAGTAACAAGCAAAACACTACTGAACTGTGTCGCAATACACCCATCTTTGCCCATTGTTTCAAGAAATGATTGTGCCTTTAAACCCTTACTTAAATCGCCTATTGAGTTTCATACAGCCCGCCTTCTCTGTGGGAGCGCATAATTGCTGGTATTTGTTTGTTTCCTATCTACAAAACTCCACATTTCCTTTCCCCTAATATGATTACATATTATGAAATGAAAGACAATACATGCTCTTTCTTTTCAAGCCTTCTCGCACTAGATCCCCCCTATGAGAGCTTCACCTCACTTCCCTTATTCTTGTTGTGTCCACAGGTGTTATGTGGACGACAAAGTGTCCAAAGTGGCCTGGCTCAATCGATCCAACATCATCTTTGCCGGCCAGGACAAGTGGTCCCTGGACCCCAGAGTAGATCTGGTCACTAAAGGACAGCTGGAGTACAGCCTGCGCATACAAAAGGTAATACTGACCTCGAAACTGGACTGTTTTTTTAGGTTTTTGTATTTGAATCATCATTAACTGGGTTTTGGTGACAGTTGCATTTGGAGATAGGAGATCAAGGATCCTATTCAAAAATCATGAAACATGACCTTAATTGCTTTTTAAGACCCTGGAGTTGTGTTATTTTAAAATATTTATCCATTCATTTATTCATTTATTTATGCAGCAGGTTGTCAGAGGGAGTATATTTGTATGCTCTATTTTTAACACTTTCTCTGTGCTTTCACAACCATGAACATGTGATGAGATATCATATTTTATAAAGAGGTGTGTGTTTTTACATGAAACAAATCTGCTTGCGTAACTTAAACCTTAAAGCAGTGGTTCTCAAACTGTGGGGCGTGTGGGTGGTATTACAGGTGGGGCGCAGGGGGAAATGCAGAATATATATATATATTTTTTTAAAGTAATTAATAAATACATGGCGAAATGTATGGAAGCCCGTTTCCGCCACTGTGAGGAAAAATACAGATCCTGTAAGTCATTATAATGAGATACTACCTCATAATAATGACTTACTATCTCATAATAATGTTATGTTTATTTTATTTGATATGGACATCACAGTAGCATTAGAATTGTAACATACATTTATGCACAAAGCCCAGATGCACTGTGTTAAGTGTTTGAAGCGAAATGCTAATTTACAACACCTGTCCACAGGAGGCTTTTTGCCAAATTGTAGTTCCTTTTTGCACAGATATAACTTTATTTGCATTGTTCTAACAAAGTCATTGCACATTTTATTTGTTTTTGTCTGATGGAGTAATCTGGTTTACTTGAAAGTGATTGCAATTTTCTTTATTCTATTATTTGAAAAAGCACAGATGGAGGAGTCACAAAATGTTATTTCAATAAAAGTTCAACATGGACCATTTTGTTACAATTTTGTTGTGGCGGTGGGGCATGAACATTTTTCTTCCTCCAAAGTGGGGCGGGACAGAAAAAGTTTGAGAACCACTGCCTTAAAGGAATAGTTAAACATCTTGGGAGATATGCTTGTTTGCTCACTGAATGGGAAGCCGGAGGAAGCATGGTTAGCTTAGCTTAGCACAAAGACTAGAAGCAGGGGGGAAATCCTAGCCTGGTTCCGATAAACCGGACTAGGTGACACGTTACTTATATTTAAATGGGCAAATATGAGAGTGATATCAAATTTCTCATACAACTATTATCAAGAAAAAAAAATAATAGCATTCTCCTGAAATGTTGAATTATTCCTTGAATTTGGGTCACACCAAAAATACATAAACCATTAAATGGTTGTTTTGTATTATTATCACTATCACGTGTTATTAAAACAGCAAGTTGTCTTAGCATTATGATAATTAAAAATTTTATAAAAAAGCAGTATACCTGTAAACAAAGTAACACAAAGTAAGACATGCTGCTCTACAGTAGTATTGTTATAAGACATATTCAAATAACAATATTCTCTTTTATTGTCTGAAGGTGGATGTGTATGACGAGGGGCCGTACACCTGTTCCATACAGACTAAGCAACAGCCCAAGACCTCACAGGTCTACCTCATTGTACAAGGTAAGTGGCACCGAACAAGCACACCAGCAGCAAAGGTAACACCAACTATCCATCAGCCAGCTGAAAAGACACAAACTTTAAATCAACACATAATGCTAAACAGAGGCTACAACACATCATAAATTATATTCATAATGACTCAAGAGTCCGAGGCATTATTGTCCAACAGCACACAAGCAGCATACATCAGCGTCACCACCGCTCTATTATTTAATGCTGAAATGTGTCCCTCTAAGGTTTCGGAAAGGAAAATATATGAATATGTACTGAGAGGAGGAAAATAGCTATATGTCACAAACGCCCGCCTACAGCAACATCATTTCTTGTTCCAGTTCAAATGAATATTAAGTGCACTTGAAAAGCCTCCAGCAGTAGTTTTCCATTTCAAAGAATAGGAAGTTATTGCTCCTGAATCAAGACAGCAGGAAAGTTGAGAGCGAGAGAAAGAATGTGCTGCAGGATTCGATCCGAGGCCTAGAGGGTGGAATTCAACTTTTTCTTCTCTTTTTTTCTTTCTTTCCAACATGTCTTCAAAACGTTATCTTTGGTTTTAAGGTTGTAGCTCCTGAGATGGAGGAGAAAGCAACACGATATCATCATCATATTGTTGAACCTGAGAAGGCTGTCAACAAGGTGTATGCGTAGATGTCGTCTTCAGTTCTTAACCTTTTTTATTGTCCATTATTGTGTCGTTCCCATGACAGTAAGTCTGCTGATAGCGATCCCATTTCAACTAATGGACAACTAATTCCACAACAAATGTTTAAAGATGCATTTTAGGAATTGAGTAGTTGTCGCACCAATGAATGTCTTACCATGATGATAACCCACAGATTTACAGAAGGTATGTAAGGTAGAACCATGCATTTTTGGCGCATTGAAAAAAACAGTGATTGGATGTAACACAGAACAGAAATTTAAAAAGAATTGTGGTGGTGGCAAAGAAGAATCATTAAAAGAGACATTTGACACGTTTTATATGGATGTCCAATCAGCGTTGATGATAAATGTAGTCAATTTAAGCAATACATTTTTCGGTGCGTGCTATATTTACCAAGAAAGCGGAGTTATTCTGTTGCAAAATCTGTTGTTTTACCTGCCTCAAACTCTGTCATTTGACGTGTCAGTGACGTACTTGGATGCAAGGAAGACCTAGAAGCTAATTCACCTTGGCTTTCTCTGGGAAGCCAGAGGCTGCGCATGTTCTAGATGCAGCTCAAAAACACAACCTCCTTGTTCTCTTTGCTTGTTTTACTAACTAGTTGGACTGGGTATCATTTATAAAATGACGATGCCAGTACCAATACAAGTACCATTAAAGTAATACTGATACCAATAGAGTACTTCATTACGGATTGTTAATAAGTGAACTTCAGATTTGCTCGTAGGTGGATTTTGTTACCTTTGGACCGAGCTGGGCTGTTTCCTCCTGTTTCCGGTCTTTAAGCTAAGCTAAGCATACGCATATCTATGAGGGCTCTATAGCCTTTGTGTGTATAACATATATTACTGGAACTTCTTGGCTCAGAATGTCCTTTAACCTGCCACATGTCATTTCCCTGTCCCTACTCCTTCCCACTCTGGCGATGCAGGCTTTTGACTGCTTGTATTTATTTATTCGTAAACTGTCAGGATACTTGGTCCTTTCAGTTCTCTTCTGAAATGTTTTGGAATTGCCGGTAAGCTCTTGGGACCATGAAAGAATAAGAACAATAAAAATACTGAGCTGTGCACCAAGGCCGTTAAAAAAGAGAGTTCATTATCCGTCAAAATGCCATCGCTAAGTCTCTGTTGTCTCGTTTTCCAAAGTCACAGCTAGTTGACAGAAATTGCTCTTAACCTGTCAAAAACAGGCTGTCTGACAGATAAGAGTGCAATACCTGAGTGCTCAAAAGTAAGCTCTCCTATACAGTAGTTTCTTTGTTTTCCTGGATGTGTGGGTGTAGGTATTTATATACTTTGCTTTAAGCTATAAATGCTTCAAATGTCATCTGTCCATTATCCCAAGAAGAAATACTAAAGCAAGACATGGAGTGCTGTTTATGTACAGTGCCAAACCTACTATTGCAGCTCAATACATTTCACCATGGTGCATTGTTTCATCAATCACATTTTGTTTTTGTTTTAACTGCCCTTTCCATTTTAAAACTACTGACTGTCTGATGGGAAACCCGACCCCAGATAAATACTGCACCGGCTGTCAGTGGAGGAAATGCACCACAGTGTAATTTCACCACACACAATAGCCAACAAGATAACTTCCCATCCAGCTATGAACCGAAGATATCATCCATTAATAGCATTTTTAAAGGCCAATATGTGAATTGATGATCTGCTTCTTGGATCCATGGCAGCAAATTGCCTCTCCTTCCCAGAATCCATTGTGTCCGATTATCCAGCGCTTGATCATTGGAATGTCCTGCGTCGACTTCCAGAGTTTCTGCCGGCGGCCTTGTTTATCACGGCTAATGCGACAGCTATAGCCAAACATTGATTCTGTTGCTTTCTCTCCCTACTTTGTCCTCTGCTCTGCCTCTCAAAGTCCCATTCAATTGAGCTGCCATATGCTCATCTTTTGTATTTACCCGCTCCGTGGGTGTAATCTTCTCCTTGAGGTTCAGTTCAGCAACTTTCATCTAAATTGCGGTGCGGTGCTCAAGCCCTAGGTTTCCGACAATTACTGTGAATGTGTTGCCATGCTCTGTGAAGACTGTGAAGTTTTTATTTACTTTTAAATGGTGGTCAAACATTGAACACATGAGGAAACAACTTAATGCTGAATGCTTACATAATAACAAGAGTGCGACGTAAAATCCTGCTTCATGAACAATCCACCACTTATTTAACCTTCGCTTTTGCTTTGGTCTTTTTTCTACTCTGTATGTAGGTTTAAGTCTTTTTCAAAGGGTAGATACGATTTTTTATCTGTGTGTAGCTCCAGTATATGCCATCACATGCAGCAAGCAACCTAAACCAATCCTGCAGAACCCAATCAACTTTGCGGGATAATAATTCACCCTGCCTTCATCTTTTAATGGGTATGAAAATGTTCCAAGCATCAAACATTGCCCCTGGTTACAGACCCAAGAGCGGGTTCACGTAACCAAAGCTGACAATTTTCTGCTAGCAGGGACAGCGACGTAATTGGAAAACAAATGATCAGACAAAGTAAATTTGCGGTGGATGAATAAGTGGCGAACTCGCGGGGCTCAGACGAGTGGTGCCAAGCAGCGGGGTCACTGCACACGACAAGATTCACAAAATAATAGTAGGCTTTCCTTCCCAATCCAATCCGATTTTTATAAAAAACATATATAGAAGTTTAGCCGATGGGCAAGCCCACACCAGTGTTGTGAGGATTTGAAAGGTTTGACTTTGATGTCTGTGAAGTCTATTAGCTCGTCAAGAGATGTTTACACCTGTGGAAAAGTGTGTGTATAGATGCATACCTGCATATGTCTTAGTCAGTGAGTTTGGCTTTTTTGTGTTGTTTTTAATAGTAGTTATAATAAGCGTTTGATTAATGGTCTCAGTTGGAAATCATGAAAAATGCACTTCTCTTTCTTTTAATCAGCAAACCTATACATTTCACTATTTCCCCTTGACTATGGAGAGGTATTTTAGATTTATATGCACTTCACACACTTTGAACTCGAACCAAATAACACCCCATTAAAATTGTAACTGTGCTGAATTGATGGGATTTTTAAATAGTCAAACCTTCCACCATTTGATCAAGTTGGAATAAGTATACTCTGTAGACTGCGTCTGACATCAATCCCAGAGAGGGGAACAATCTGTGCTTTCGTGTTGATATCCATAGTGTTAAATATTGTCTGTAGCCCATATAAACTGCTGAGCTGTCATTAATAATGTTCCTCTCCTAAAGTACAGATGACAGGAGTATATTTCTCCCATTGTAAAAGGCACATTTTGGACATATTAAAAAGTTGAATAACGTATGCCTTTATAACTATTGTCATACTCGATCAGTAAAAGCTTTCTTGAATCCATTTGCATGAGACTAATGTAACTTGGGGATATCCAGACATCTATAATAACATCATTTAACTTTTTTGAGTGTTTTTTTTTTTTAGAATTATTCCATCAGGCCAGTCATTTGAAAAACAAATTGTTACTTGCATGCACGGCCTAGCAATTGCTCGACCTTACATGGTTAAACCACTAACATCATTACAATGAACAGCAGGCAATGAAACAAAGTGAGATAGGACAGTGACAAATCATGTACGAATAGACAGGATTCTTTGTGATGATAGGAAACTATTGTATAAGTAAGAATGGCATTCAAAGCAACTCATTAAACTGCCCAGTGTCATCGAATGTTACAGTTCATACCCGAGCAATCAGTAGGTGTAATACAGATGCATCAGAAAATGTGACAACATAAAATCAAGTGTCATGTCTATAATTTGTGAACAACAAAGGCTCCTCGGTGAATCAAACTCTGCATGCAATTTATTTTTCTTGTTCCTGAGGACAATTTCTGTCATGAAAAACAGGCAGAATAGAAAAAAATAGACACTGATAGACTGATATAACAACAGCTTTTAAGTCTTCATCAGCCATCATCAGACAGCGTCTTTACCAAAGTATGGGGTATAGGCCTAGGTTATCATGAATGGATATGTCTGACAGTTATGATAATGGAGGCCTATACCTCAGTGTGAAGGCCTTTTAATATTCAATCTAGCACCATAATCAGGACAAAGTAAAAATGTGTACTTGGCTTTATGACCAAATTCCTGCAAAATGATGTTCCCATCAGCCTCAGGGGAATTTTGTGTTTTACTGCTAATTGTCAATTGTTAGCATGCTAATACACCGAACTAAGAACCTGATTAACATTATATCTGCTGAACATCAGCTTGTTAGCATTGTTGTTGAAAGCATGCTAGCATGCTGATGTTAGCATTTAGCTCAAAGCACTGCTGTGTCTGACTAAAGCCTCACAGAGGAGCTATCATGACCGAAGACTC